AAAAATAATCCCAAAGTAATGCTCTTTCAATTTTTATTCCCTTATTAATCTAGTTATTGCCACGTAGACTCCCCATCAAAGGAAAAAATAACTTGTAAATCTTTTATTTATATATTACATAGTTTTCCTTTATTTAGTGCCTTAAGTATATTCTGTAAGCAAATTAAAAAAAGGAAAGTGGATTCATAATTAGTGATTTAAAATTGTTGATCACCCTCCAAATTGCAATGATTTTGCTGAAGAACCTTTTTATTTTGCTGCCATTATTCCTCCCTAGCTTTATTCTTGATTATTATATCTCAAGTTCTTTTCTTTTTTACTTGTTACTTGCAGTTTTATATATGGTAGTCTCCTAACTTTGTAAATTTTAAGAAGTTTGCAAAAACTCAAATTGTTTGAAGTATGAGTAAACATTTCAAGATACATAATAATCATAGTTTACGTGAACCATAAAAATTCCACTATAACGGGAAAGAAAATTTAAAAAAAAATTCTCTTGCATTTTTTGACTTATCAAAAGAGAATACATTCCAAAAAAAATAGGAGAGAAAATATAACTAGATCAGTGTTAGTATCAAAATTAACACGCTATATGAGCCAATCTAATGTGAGAAATACTAATTAACTCAATAATAGATAGAGATATATTTTTATTTATCTTTAAGATTGTACATAAGTGGCAAATTTTGAACTATTGAAAAGTTATTAAGAATCTATTGATGTGGATTGTATCTCTTAATATAAGATGGAAATGTGAATACTGTCCATACTCAAAGTCTACATGGCAACAAGTAGGTTAACAAGGGAATATATTTTGAAAGTGCATTAATTTGGGAATAGTTTTAAAGAATGAGGTTATTGTGGAAATAAAGTCCATAGGCTTTGCCACTTTGGTAGACCTTAGGCGGGCACCCCTCCCAAGTGCAGTGAAGCCACCAACCTAGTCCATCTTAGAATATTAGAAAGATTTCAACAATTCAATTGGTGAAAAAGATATACAAATAGTTGCATTAGATCCAGACATTACTTTGAGATCTTTATGGAATAAAAAGATCTGAACATGCAGTCTATTTTGGTGAATATCAACTTCGAAATTTAGCTCCTTGTCAATAGTTAGTTTTTGGCCACAATAATCTTCTTCTTGAAAATAATTTCCAAATTAATGCATGTTCAAACTTTACTCCCTTGTTAATCTATTTATTGTCATGTAGACTAGTTGTTGTCCCAATATGGAAAAATAATCATGTGCAGCCTTTAGCTGTTATCTTCTTTTTCTTTTTTTTTTTATTTTTGTTGAGAGGTGCTTTCCTTGATTTAATCTCTTCTTTTCCTCCCCCCCCCCCTTTTTTTTTGTCTGCAGTTGCATCCTTTTAAAATGTCAATAACTACTCTTGGAAACTTATTCGTTATTATACAATCCTGAATCCTTAGTGATAATTCAGTTCTACAATTTCAAAGGTTAGTATAATGCTTTCTCCATTGTACCTTGTGAAATTTTATGATGTTAGGAAATTTCTTAAATAGTTGTAAATACATGTAATTTTTTTTTGCCGTGTGTATGATAAAGTGCCATCACTAAGAATTTTTAGACATCAATTGTCGTAAATTCATGTTTTTTTTTTTGCTCTTGTTACCATTAGCTATCTTGGTTCATATAATATGTTAATTTTGATGCTAAGTGTGTCTTGGTTAGATTTTTTTTCTTGGTTCACTATGAAGGAGAGTTTTTTCATTTCTTTTTCCCTATTTCAATAAAACGTTTTCAGTGTACATTAAACTATGATCATTATCTACCTGACATGCTTAAGCCTGTTAATTTTAACTTTTGAAAACTTGTTATAGTGTATTAAGTGAGGAGCTAATTTTGCCCAATTTTATGAAAATTATCCGCAAATTCTGAGACTGATGCTAATGGACGAGAATAGTCATCCACCTTGTGTAAAAAACGTAAATATAAAAACTAAATTCAAATTTGTGGATCCTTTTGACCACCAAATATGAAATTGCATATGACGAGAAATAAAGAAAGGAACTTGGATAAGGCACAATCAAGAAGACGGTAGGAAGAATGGCTGCAAAAGACAAATAGACAGGATATGTAAGTGAAAATGAAAGATAGTGGAATAAAATATTTAAAAGTGTGATAGGTTGCAATTTCATTATTTGTTTTATTATTAATTACCCCTACTACCTAACCCAATGTGGATTAATTACTAGATTCTACCCACTTTTCGTAATTTGCATTTATTTCAGGGAGTAGAACGAAAATACCACAACCATGGCCAATTTGACAGTCATCGGGAAAGAATTCAAATGGAAGGCATTTAGGGGCTTTTTTGGAACAAAGAGATGCAAGTCTTTTTTGGTAATTTGGACGAAAACAGTAACTAGGAAGCAAAAAGAAAGCAAGTTTGGGAGTCTTCGTGGGCCTACACAAGTGACGCCGCACAGCAGCCATAGGGCATTAGAGTAATCAAATAGAAAATAGGAACAACAGGGAATTAGCACTACGGAATCTTAGCTTTTGATTTTTCCTTTGGTGCTTTTGAGTAGTACTTCTACTACGCATGTCAGGAGCAATTAAGAGAGCTTTGACTTGTCTTCCTTCTAGCTCTTAGTAATTCCTTTTCCTTCTTCGTATGTCAATTTCGAATCCCTCGTTGTATCACTACTCCGAATGGATTGAATTTTCCCATTTTCAAAGGACAATGGCCGCTACTTTATTTACAATTTCTCGTGGGTTTTTCGCATCCGGGATGAACTAAATCCCCTTTGTCTAGTCAAGGAGCAACGGATGCTTTGATTCACCTAAAAATCGTGAGATAGATTTAATTTTATCCTTCTCTTTTATTTATTGGTATTCGCATATTCCCTGGTTACAGTGCTTGTGATTATTCAATTAATTGATTGCCTTGGATCCGGATAATTAATTGATTTGGTAATCTATTGTCAATTAGGGCATTAAATCCGTAATTGCTTATTGCCTTGAATTAGTGACAACTGGCACGATTAGATTTGTATCAGGGGGATACGCGGACTAATTTGAAATAACCCTAGTAGTGCGTTATTTGGTTAGAATAGAACTCCTCTAATACGTAAGGCAATTGGAAAATTAAATCTTATGGGCGTACTTAGGATTATTACCTAGGATTATTACTCAATTAGAGCAGTGGTTAACAGGCGTACCTTAATCACTGATACAGTAAGGAGGGGTTGACTGTGATCGCTTGTTTGACAGTTATAACCTATTTATTAGTAAATAATTGGAATTGCCTTTGTTTCAATGATCAATTAGGTGAACCATTGCTAAAGTTATTTCTTGGTTAGATCATTAGTTATCATTCATTTGACGTTAGTAAACTGTTATTTAATTTTTAGTAGTTCCTTGGATTTTATTTGCATTTCTTTGATTGTCATTTTCTGCATAAAAACACCCCCTTTATTACTGTGGATTTAAAAAGAAACAGTTACTTCCATTCCCTGTGGATTCGACCCTGCTTACCACTATTTACAAAAATTAACTTTAGTTGAGCAGGTTTTTATTATTGCACAGGCTGACAACCTGTCAATTTTTGGCACGGTTACCGGGAACTGGTGTCAGTTATTTGCTTCTTTTTAAATTCATTTTTGTTCTAACTTTCTGGTATTTTTCGAGTGTATGTCTCGTTCTTCTCGTACAGGTGAATTAATTTTTGACTCCGAGGTAGAAAAGACTGCACGTAGAATAAAAAAAGAAACCAGACAACTCAGAGAAGAGTACTAAAGTGTTGCATCTCAGATACCTGAGCCAGAAGTTGAACCAACAGAGTCGTTTGGTGACAGTTCGAGCGACTCAGAGCAAGAAAAAGTTACTATAGCTAATGCGCGAACATTAAGGGAATTGGCTGTGTTTGATTTAAATCAGCAGCCTTTATGCATTACATTTCCAAGTTTGAATGATAACACTCCATTTGAATTAAAATCTGGTATAATTCATCTCTTGCCATATTTTCATGGTTTACCAGGTGAGGAGCCCTATAAGGATTTATAGGAGTTTGATGTCGTGTGCAATAGTATGAAACCCTCGAGAATCACAGAAGAGCAAATAAAAATGAGAACATTCCTTTTTTCCTTGAAGGACTCTGCAAAAGATTGGCTATACTACCTACCACCAGGTAGTATCACCACGTGGGACTAGCTAAAGAAAAAGTTCTTGGACAAGTATTTTCCTGCGTCTCGAGTTGCAAGTCTAATAAAGGAGATCTGTGGTATCAAACCGCACCCGGGGGAGACGCTCTACAACTACTGGGAGCGATTCAAGAAGTTGTGCATCAAGTGCCCCAGCACCAAATAAGTGAGCAGTTGTTCATACAATATTTTTACGAGGAGCTACTTTTCAGAGACAGAAGTATCATTGATGCTACGAGTGGAGGGGCATTTGTGAACAAGACCCCTCGGGCAGCATGAGAGCTAATTGAGGGAATGACCAAGAATTCACAATAGTTCGGTATAAGGGAGGATGTCTCAATACGCAAGGTAAATGAGATAGAAATATCTTCTATTCAAGAGCAGTTGACGGAGTTAACCTCGTTTGTTAGGCAACTGGCTGTAGGAAATGCATCTCAGGCCAAGGTGTGTGGAATTTACACTACTATGGGCCATTCAATAGATATGTGCTCAATAATTTAAAAAAAAGTGCAGAGCAAGTGAATATGGCTGATCACGTGCTCGCACCAAGACAGCCATACGACCTATACTCGAGTACATACAATTCGGGGTGGAGAGATCATCCTAACTTTAGCTATGAAGGATATAAGCAGTCGAATTTCGCACCAAACAGGCAGCAAGGATACCAATAACAGTACCAACCTCATCCTCCACCACCCCCTTCAAACTCTAGTCTGTCTATAGAAAAGATGATGAAACAATTAATTGCTAATCAACAAAAGACGGACTCTAACCTACAAAGCATGAAGAATCAATTGGGTCAGATACAAGTAATGCAAAATCAGATGAATCAGATGGCAGTGGCAATCAATCGCCTGGAATCCCAAGTTTATGAAAAATTGCCGTCTCAACCTGAATTGAACCTGAAGAACGTAAGTACGATGACTTTAAGGAGCGGGAAAGAAATTCAGGAACCTGACCTCATGATTCCAAAGGACAAGGATGAGAAAAAAATCGAGAACGAGCTTGAGAAGGAGAACACCAGCACCAAAAATCAAGTGGTACTCCCTGACCCAATCATAGACGTTAAAACTAATCTTCCTCCATTTCCTAGCAGGTTGGAAAAACTAAAGAAGCAGAATAAGAAAAATGAGATCTTGGAGGTGTTCCGCAAGGTAGAGATCAATATTCCCTTATTAGACACTATCAAGCAAGTGCCGAAGTATGCAAAATTTCTGAGGGACCTATGTGTCAATCGAAAGCAACTGAGGGGAGACGAAAGGATCATTGTTGGGGAGAATGTATCAGCAGTTCTCCGAAGGAAGCTTCCACCGAAGTGTGGGGATCTAGGTAGGTTTACTGTCTCATGTAGGATAGGTAACACTTTAATTAGGAATACCATGCTAGATTTAGGAGTATCGATCAACGTAATGCCTAAATCTATGTATTCTTCTCTGGACCTTGGTCCATTAAAAGAAACTGAGATAATAATCCAATTAGCTGACCGAACAAATGCATACCCTGATGGGTTGGTCGAGGATGTGTTGGTTAAAATTAATGAATTGATATTTCCAGCTGACTTTTATGTACTTGACATGGATGATAACCATTCTCCCCACCCTCCGTCTTTGCTATTAAGTAGATCCTTTTTTAGTACAGTGCAGACAAAAATTGATGTTAATAAGGGTACATTGTCTATGGAATTTGATAGAGAAATGGTCCATTTTAATATTTTTGATACAATGAAACATCTTGTTAACTCTCCCTCTGTATTTGCTATTTATGCTATTAACCCTTCTGTACAAGAATTTTCTGAGTTTAATTGTAAGGATAAATTCAGAGTTGTTGCGAACGAGTATAAGGGATGAAAGCAATTTCTAAGGTGAAAATGAGTCGAAAATTAAGGAAGAATGTTGCACTCAATGGCTAGGTGGATCCCGGAGGAGGGCCACCGATTACAAGGAAAATTGAGTTACACCCAAATTGAAGAGTGGTGTTCAATGTTTAGCCAAAGACATTAAAGAAAAGCGCTCATTGGGAGGTAACCCAATTTCTTTTAGTTGTTTGTTCGGTTTTGTTTATTCGTTTAAATATGTTTTTCTTGAGTTTGACTGATTTCTGGTTTCAATTTTCGTTTTTGATGATTCGTAGGTATCTATCTGACATGACGCGTTCGTGTCAACTAGGCGCGTGGTACATTGCAACTTCCTGATGCTTAGTAAAAAGGGTTTCGATCCCCTTGACGTGCCCGCGTCAAGTCATCCGAAGAGCTCATGGTCAGAAGGGTTCTGACCCTCATGATGTGCCCGCATCAAATTACCTGGAAAGCTCTTCACTTCGTGCCTTCATGACGTGCCCGTGTCATGTTCGCGGGAAACGTGGGCATTCAAAACCACAGAAAATTTTGATTTCCCTCTAATCTCAAATTTTGAAGTAATACATTTTGCCTAAAAAATATATAATAAAAAATTTTAAAAATTAATTAATTAAAAAAAATCTTTTTTCCTGTTTAGCCGTAACTTCAAATTTTGAAAATCAACATTCTCAAAAAAAAGAAGAGAAAAAAAAAACCAAGAACTATTTTTCTTTTTCTTTCTTTCTTCCTTTCTCTTTCTTTCCCTTTTCTTCCTCTTCTTCCCCGCTGCCCCTGTTTCCTTTTCCTTCTTTTCTCGTTTGGCCGAAAGCCTTCACCGTCATCCCTTCATCCAAACTCCATCGCCAACACCTCGCACGACCAGCGTCGCGCCGCAAGCCATCCCTAGCGCAGCCTCACGAGTTGGCCACCACCAGCGTCGTCTTCTCCAGTCGTGACGTACGTCGGGTTCCTCTCTCTCTGCTCACCTAGCTCACTTCCACCACTCCACCACGCGCACGCTAGGCGAGCAACCCACCACCCTTGTGCATGCAACTCCAACCCCACCAACAGCAGCCCATCCGAGCGGCTACTTCGCACGCCGCTACCCCCCATAGCCACGGACGCACACCAACTGCCGCCCGCTAGCTTCTATCCCCTTTTGTTCGCCACCACTAGTTCCACCTTTTTCAACTATCCGACAGTGGGGGTATTTGTAACTCATTTCCCAACTCCTTATTACTATTTGCAATCGTTGGAGGTGTTCATTAATGTGGGTCTGTCATTGACACTGTTTCATCAATTATGTGAGTATTTTGGCTACACGGGGTCATTTTTACTCTATTTGCTGACTGATTGGAAGCTGGGGGTTTGAGATTCAGTTGTTAATGTCAGAGTTTTCCACTACTATCGCTTGCCTTGTTCACTTCTTGAGGCTCTTGCTACGGGCTCACTGCTGGGGGCATTTGTTGAGTTTTTGGGTGCTATTATTGGAGTATTTTCCCTTGAATGTGTTAGCTGTATTTGGTTAGATACCGGAATGACTGCCAAGGGATTGTGCCTGTGTTGCTCTTGTAGAGTTTTTGAACTCATAGTGCTAGGGTCAGCATATTATTACGGACTGTTGGTGAAACTGTGGATAGCCCAAGTTTGCTTGTTGACTGACTGAATTGGGTAGCCCCTGTGCTTATTGACGTGACTTTGCTAGTTTCCAGTTGTTGATACTAGTTTCTAGTTGTTGATTTTAAAGTGCAATTGTTGTTTTGTTGACCATATTTGGGCTTGAGTGGCCTGTCTTTGCTTTTGCTTGTTGAGTTGGGCATCACTGGTGACTACTGAATTGCATTTATTGGGTCCTATAATTGTTGGCAATTGCTGTCTATTGTTGATTGAGTAGCCTCTTAGTACCTATGGCGGCGATCTCGACCTATCTACCTCCGCTTTGCCCCCTCCAACTCCAAGGGCTAGGACTGGCACCAGCTCCGGACACAGGTTGAGAATTTGGAGGTTTGAATGATTAACATCGACAACAATATGGCTGCTATGACACAAAATTTGGCAGCATTCATGCAGCACACTGGTTTTCCACCCCAAGTCCCGCCTCGCCCACCATTTTGATCCGATTCCAGGGGAGTTTTGTTGCCCTTTCTTCTACTTTTGATGTTTATTTGCTACATTGGGGGTAATGTATCATTTAGGTGTGGGGGGGGATTGGATTAGATGGGGTACTAGTATTTCTATTTTTTGTTTTTTAGTAGTTTTAATTTTTGGGTGTTTTTCCTTTATTTCTAGTTCGGTATTTGTCTATCTTTCGTTCATTTTCTTTCTTTCTTTTTGGTGCTTAATTCTCATGTGAATACCAAGGTTTGATATTGGATTATTGACTTTAAATCTACTCTTGCCAAGTTTTGATATTAAAAGTGTATCGAATTAATGTGGTTGACTCTAAAACATCTCTTTGGTAAATATTGATAACTGCTTGACTCTTTTGATTTCCTTGTTAACTTTTCTATACATAGGGAATGACTGTTAGCATTTTAATGTGAATTGGTCCAATATTGACTTTAATTCTTCATGTTTGGCAATTATGAGGCTAGTTGCTCTTATTTTTATTTTTAGCGGTGTTCTTTTTGTGTTATTTGACTGTGAATAAGGTTGACTGTACTTCGCTATTAGTTACTACTGAGTAACTGGAGGTTTTCACCTAAAGTGTCGATTCTCGCATAAAAAAATAGTAATTTTTATGAGTACGTGGTCATATAGCGATAGGAGCTAAATACCCAGGCACCTTCATCTGAAAAATATCGGGGTTTGCATCAAACGGCTTCAATGACTAGAGACTAAGTCTTTTGTCCCATTTTCTAAAAAAAAACAAAAGGAAAAAAATAATTAATAGAAAGCGTGGAAAAGAAAAAAAAAAGTGTAGGTTGTGTTAGTGTGTAATAGAAGTCAGCTGCCGATTTATGGATTCAATGTGGAAATTTTGGTTAATATTTGGATTTGTTGCTGATAAATATTGTGCGCCATTCCTTTTTCTTAGATTAATTAATCCAGAATTCAAAGAGTTTGTAGTTTAGAAGCTTACCGGGGTGATGTTTTTCGGATTCTGATCACTAATGCTTGATATATAGTTTTCTTTGGTATCTTGGCAATGTGATAGATAGAGCAATGGCCATTATCAAATTTTGGTGTTTGTTTACTGTTCTTATGCTTAAGAACAAGCATGGTTCAGGTGTAGGGGGAATTGATAGGTTGCAATTTCATTACTTATTTTATTATTAATTTTCCCTACTACCTAACTCAATGTGGATTAATTACTAGATTCTACTTACTTTTCGTAATTTGCATTTATTTCAGATAGTAGAACGAAAATATCACAATCAATGCCAATTTGACAGTCATCGGGAAAGACTTCAAATAGAAGGCATTCAGGGGCATTTTTGGAATAAGGAGATGCAAGTCTTTTTTGATAATTTGGTTGAAGACAACAACTAAGAAGCAAAAAGAAAGCAAGTTTGGGAGTCTTCATGGGCCTACACAAATGACGCCGCACAGCAATCGTAAGGCATTAGAGTAATCAAATAGGAAATAGGAACAGTAGGGAATTAGCACTACGGAAGCTTAGCTTTTGATTTTTCCTTGGTGCTTTTGAGTAGTACTTCTCCTGCGCATGTCAGGAGCAATTAAGAGAACTTTGACTTGTCTTCATTCTAACTCTTAGTAATTCCTTTTCCTTTTTCGTATGTCAATTTCGAATCCCACTTTGTATCACTACTCCGAACGGATTGAATTTTCCCAATTTCAAAGGACAATGGCCGCTACTTTATTTACAATTTCACATGGATTTTTCGCATCCGGGATGAACTAAATAATTTTCTGGTGCTTTTCGAGTGTATGCATCGTTCTTCTCATACATGTAAATTAATTTTTGACTCCGAGGTAAAAAAGACTGCGCGTAGAACAAGAAAAGAGACCAGATAACTCAGAGAAGAGCACTCAAGTGCTGCATTTCAGATACTTGAGCCAGAAGTTGAACCAGCAGAGTCATTTGGTGACACTTCGAGCGACTCAGAGCAAGAAGAAGTCACTATGGTTAATGCACGAACATTAAGAGAGTTGGCTGTGCCTGATTTAAATCAGCAGCCTTTATGCATTACTTTTCCAAGTTTGAATGATAACACTCCATCTGAATTAAAATCTGGTCTAATTCATCTCTTGCCATCTTTTCATGGTTTACCAGGTGAGGAGGCGTATAAGCATTTACAGGAGTTTGATGTCGTGTGCAATAGTATGAAACCCACGGGAATCACAGAAGAACAAATAAAAATGAGGGCATTCTCTTTTTCCTTGAAGGACTCTGCAAAGGACTGGCTGTACTATCTACCACCAGGTAGTATCACCACGTGGGACCAACTAAAGAAAAAGTTCTTAGACAAGTATTTTCCTGCGTCTCGAGTTGCAAGTCTAAGAAAGGAGATCTGTGGTATCAAACAGCATCCGGGGGAGTCGCTCTACGACTACTGGGAGCGATTCAATAAGTTGTGCATCAAGTGCCCCCAACACCAAATAAGTAAGCAGTTGCTCATACAATATTTTTTACGAGGGATTACTCTTCAGAGACAGTAGTATCATTGATGCTGCGAATGGAGGGGCACTTGTGAATAAGACCCCTCGGCCAGCATGGGAGCTAATTGAGCGAATGGCCGAGAATTCACAACAGTTCGGTACGAGGGAGGATGTCCTGATACGCAAGGTAAATGAGGTAGAGACATCTTCTATTCAATAGCAGTTGACGGAGTTAACTTTGTTTGTTAGGCAACTGGCTGTAGGAAATGCATCTCAGGCCAAGGTGTGTGGAATTTGCACTACTATGGGCCATTCTACAGATATTTATCGGATGATTCAAGAAGAAAGTACAGAGCAAGTGAACATGGCTGGTCACGCGCCCGCACCAAGACAACCATACGACCTATACTCGAGTACATACAATCCGGGTTGGAGAGATCATCCTAACTT